CCCCCCCCCCATTCCAGGAACGTTTACTGCCAAACACTACCTTTCATCGATTCAAAAATCTCGAAAAAAGGAACTTGCTAGATTGTAATCATGCATTAGCGGCCAACGTGCCAGGAGAATTTCAAATTAGAACTGTCACAAGATTGGATTGTTCAGCAATTGTTCTTTCCCACGATTTGCAAAAATATTGGATGAAAAATCACATCTGAATACCACACCAACTCTGAGACCCAACTAGCCCTGGTGACGTCATTAAGGAAGCATAAAGATGGCATAAAACAATGCTTGTCGGTTCATATGTCGTTTTTCGCAAAACATCACCGTCTATGGATAAAGAGCTTTTATGAAAACGTTGCATAACGGAAAGAGTGTTTACCCGTGCCACAGAAATGCCTGAAAAATGAAAATAATTCATCACGTTGTGTTGTCAACAACGAGCAGTCGAAACCACTACTGGAAAATCTAGCGGAATCAAGCTTGATTGATGATATCAAGAAACGTACAAACAACGTCCTTCGCGATTTTGGTCTTCAACAGCCAGCGCAAAACCTCGTTTAATGATGCTACTCATGTTTGCTTACGCTGTTTGTTATTCTTCTGAACAACAGTATGAAATGTGACATTTTGCCATCGTACTCATGCGCTGAAAAAATGCCAAATTTTGAAGGTTTGGATCTCGTAGCGATCGACGGGCATCGTGACAAGGCCAAGTTATTATTCAGAGGTTCCCGTCATATCGCAGTCAATTGAAACAGAACTTGTAATGGCTTCCATAACTCATTTTGACGTTCCTTAACGTAGAAATCAATCAATCGCATGACATGGGCAAGTGATCGAGTGAGAACCGACATTTTGTACTTTTTTCTGCAGTGCATCAGGGCATTAAGATGACCAGCACCCATTCGCTCATTAAAGACTTTTTAGTGATTCTGTCTGATAGTGCTGATGACTCAGTGAAAGGTCAAGAATGACAGGTTCTTCCCTAGACCGGATTGTCTTCGTCTGAAGTTCATACGGTAGCAAAAGATTATGAACGACGTGCTGTTGCTTCCGCAAAGCACAATTCAGTCATGGTCCGCACAAACTAGATGTGAGTTTCAAGCAGAGACATATAAATTATTGTCAAGGATAAAAAATTATATTAAAAGTCATTCGTTTAAACAATAAGGCCGTAAAATAAAACCATACTGAACTTCAATTTAACAGAGACAATCTTTTTCACCTCTGGACATGAATGTTGAATAACAGCCGCGAGTACCATCAAGAAACAAGCATTGAACATTGCCCATTGTGAGCCGCTTCTTTTCAAGATTGATAGATTGTTATCGCGGGTTTGACATGTGATCGAGATGCTAGAGGAGTAATTTGCAGGGGGGACTCTCTGAACAAGGACCCGATGGATATGACTATTTGGTAGGCTGAAGTTCACAAGGCCACATTACGTTACTTTATCGCACTTTAGAATCCATGCCAGTGAGCTTGTTCAACTCCCAAAAAAATGGGATTATCAGAGAATGCTCCTGAAGCTGAAAATTTCTAAGCTCCAGATACAAGAAGAACCCCACCTTCTGTAGATCGATAATCGTGCAATGGAACAGTGACCTAAGGAAAGAGTGGCGAGGCATACTCTCTTGGCGAAGTATCATGGAAGGTGGTTTACGGGCAGGCCGAGGATCAGGCAGATCGATCATACTGAACACCATAAAATCCAGGTTATAGAGCAAGCTTGATTGGCTGATCGGCCAGACACCGAGGCCGATGTAATAGGGCTCTAATTATGATAAGAAAATCAGGTGAAGGATATGCTACGCAGCGGCAAGTATTGGTGAAACACGTAACCTTAAAGTTGAGAAGGAAATTTAGCATAAATATGAATTGAAACTGCTGATTTTGGGTCGCCGCAAAATGCAGCCACGTTCTTGCTCCCCCTCCCTCAGTTCATGGTGTTGCTTTTATTGAACGCCATGCCGGATCGCTCGTCGCCTGGGTTAGCAAGAGCCACGCAGACCGGTGGAGGGCTAAGGCAGACTGCGAAGAGTCAGCGCTAAGAACCTGCTTCACAATTTTCGACAGCTGCAGCCAGACAGAAGAATCGCTTTCCTCGCACCTCTCGACATTATCCATGGCACAGATGTCTGAAAGACCCTCGATGTACAGCCACTGCTTCTTTAAACTGAGAAGTCACAGCAACTTTTGGGTTCTGTGAATACTTGCAAACCTATGGGGGAAAGAGTTACCATTATTAGTTCTAAAGGGGGGGGGCAAGTATAACGTGGACGAGTGGCCCGAAAGACTCTGCTCCAAACTCTGTATTTAATTTGACCGCTTTAATATCCGGGAGATCGCCATGTTTTTCAGCTCCAGATATTTTCTGCCAAAGCTCTAGCGTTGGTACTGGATTGGGAAGGTTAGACGCGTCTGCCTCCGCGGCCCGACATGATAAGCAGTCATCGAAGCCGAGTGGTTAATTCTGATTTCACTGTTAAAGCAACAGATGATCAATTGATTCATCACTGGTGGCACAAGTTGAACAAAAGTTACAGTATTCAAATGCTGTTTAAATAAATGCTATGTGAGGTTGCAAGAGAGCATACAAAGAAGAACGGAAGCTAGCCGTCTTCCGGTGTAATGCCTCGTTGTTTTAGATCCTCGAAGACATCATCGTCGACATCAATATCGTGAGGTAGGAGAGAATGTAAGAAGCTTTTTGGACTCGAAACTCAGTTTCAAGATGGCCTGAAAACAACAGACTATCCGCAGGCGTATTTGCCTAGCATCTGCATACACAATCTGTACAAGTGTATGTCAAGCCAATCAGACAATTTGCCTATTACAGAGCCAACTGTCAGAAAGGGCAAAATTTTAGAAACTAAGTCAGGGGACTTGTTGGTATGCACTCGATGTGGGCTCGGGAAGCTAATTGTCGAATTTACATGGTGATCTACGCAAGTTGAGGCAACATGTAGGAAGAGTATATAAATTAGAGTACGCAACAGTTTGGGGGGGTTAGTGGCAAACTGTCTTTCGAGAGTCTGTGACCTCGAACTCCGGCTGTTGTCGCTCGTTTTTCATGAGTCTGAGATAAACAGAAACAAGGAGTAGTTAGATAAGAGAAATAATTAGGTGATGCACTGTTCTCACAAGCAGATATAGACGTTACCCTAAGAAACAAGGCATTTTTAGAGGCGATATCATGACAGAGATTCCAACGTCATGAATGAGAGTACTGTGAACGGTGCCAGGCAGGTGCGGAATGGTTAAAGAGGCCAGTTTCTGAATAGTCACAATTTGGCTTTACAGTAAAGATGAACGTCAATCGAGGAAAGCTAATAAGACTCAAGTACATAAACAGGCAATTTTCGAACGTGATCAAAACGCACCAACTTATGGTCATGACGTAATACCGTTATTTCTCTATATCACGGGTACAATGATGGATAGGCTTAAAGACTACACGGCTACCAGTTGTACAGTTGATCACAAGAAATTACGAACTGAACGGAAGAACTATGAAGATACGTGGAAATGGGCATTACTGCCTTTATTATTATGTAGCCTTTTTGCCTTGAGCGTGGCCAATATTGTCTGCTTAAAATATTTGCGTTTCTAATAATTATTTTGGCATTTATCTATATTTTATGTCTACAATTATTGAAGTATTAGCTTTAGCGTGCAATTATACCACTATTGTATCCATGTAGCATTAAGTATCTACGTCAATCAGATTTTTATCTGGAGTGGTTTAATATTGGTAGGAAAAGCAGCAAGGCCTGTTTGATACCTGGATTAAATAAAATGGCACTACCTTAGACAAGTTAATCAGGCTTAGTGCAAAAAGTGCTAAACTATTTGCAGAGTAAACGACATGCCCTCCATAGCAAGGCTAAACGGAAGCTAGGCATTCGTTCGGAATTATATTTCTTATATAATTTGTTGTAATAATTAGATCTGAATGAATTGACACTTTAATAGTTCTAGACACAAGGAAGACGACGGATGGTAGTTTATATTACAATCGCCGATGTTTCAGCCAAACGATACTGGCGATCCGCTGGGCAAACAATTGTAGTACGGCTGAAACTTCGGTGGTCATAACTGACTACCAACCGTTTCTTCTGTTTAGAGCGATTAAAATAATAATTTGCCAAAAACACGACAGAATGAAAATCTGGTTTCAAAAATTATTCAAACAGTTCGTTAAATCTAATATTCGAGTAATTGAGAAAGGTCCGATGAGCACGCCACCAGACCACTGTCGCATTTGGAGCAAGAGCTGCAACGATCCAACGGTGCTAAATTTAATTATCTTATATCTAGTGGTGGTAAACTATGTGTAAGATAGGTGAAACGGTTCAGTTATCAGCAAACCCCTCTGTCGCCGTCGCGTCACGAATGCGGATGAGGCAGCGCACGTCATCGAAAACGGAGTTTAGCAGCCGGAGGCTAACTTTGATTTGCATATTAATGAGGAACGAGCATAAGGCAAGCTTACGTTGCAACGGCAAGGAGGAACAGCGTCTGAAGTCGACCGTTGGTCATCGTGATCGTCGTTGAAGATGTCCACCGTACCACACCGTTGCTCGCACACCACTGTGAACAAGGAGTCCGTGTAGACGCGTCAGCGATGATCGCTGTCCGCCACCGAAAAACGTCCGCCACACAGCCACCACCGGATGAAATCGGATTCTTTCACACTGCTGGTCGAAAGAAGTGGAATTTCAGCATTCTGCGTCCGCGCCACTGCGCTCGGTTCGCCGCCGATGACCGCCGATGACCGCCGATGACCCGTGGCACAACGCACGTGGGCTCCACGTGAGTTTGTGCCTCGCGCGGCGCCGCTTGACTTGAGGAACGGACGTTTCTCAGTGGACGTTGAGGGTTGGTCTGTCGCAAATTAGGAGAGCCAGTTACCGACGAGAAACGCTTTAGTGTCGAGACGCCGACAACTCGGCTTTTTCCGACGACCGCTCGACAACAAGAAACTACTTATTTCCGGGTCGAGGGCAATCGCACTCAAATTAGTCATCTTGTCGTTGTAGTCGCAGTCCGACTTGAAAAATGACTGCTGCGAGACGAGGTGATCGAGGCGTCGTTCTGTTGCGCCGGAATTCTGAAGAAAATCAACCAACGATTGGGAGTACAGCGCGGCACTCCCTCAAACGACGTTTACGACCTCAA